GGTTAATTTCACCCTGTTTGACGGGTCAAAAGAGATTTTCGCTAACAGTGTACTTTGGTAAGTGTATTTATGCTTTTTTTTTTAATCTAAAACCAAATTGGGATCTGATCGTTTTTATTGGGTAATTATTTATTTTAAAGTTTAAGGGTTAATTTCACCCTATTTGACGGGTCGGAAGAAATTTTCGCTAACAGTATACTTTGGTGAGTGTATTTATGCTTTTTTTATTCTAAAACCAAGTTGGGATTTGATCGTCTTCATTGGGTAATTATTTATTTTGAAGTTTAAGGGTTAATTTCACCCTGCTTGAGGTCGGAAGGGATTTTCTTTAACAGTGTACTTTGGTGAGTGTATTTATGATTTTTTAAATTTAAAATCAAGTTGGGATTTATTCGTGTTCATAGGTTAATTATTTATCTTATTGTTGAAGGGTTAATTTCACCCTGTTTGACGGATCGGAAGGGATTTATCCTAACAGTGTATATTGGTGAGTGTATTATTGATTTTTTAAATTTGAAATCAAGTTGGGATTTACTCGTCTTCATTAAGTAATTATTTATTTTAAAGTTGAAGGGTTAATTTCACCCTGTTTGACGGGTCCGAAGGGATTGTCTCTTGTAGAGTATTTTAGTAAGTGTATTTATGATTTTTGAAATGTAAAACCAAGTTGGGATCTGGTCGACTTCGTAGGATTAATATTTATTTTGAAGATTATGGGTTAAATTTTGAATAATACTGAATGAACTACCTATTACACAAAAACAGATAAATTTTATGAAGCTATCAATTATCCCCTAATTGTCCTAATCCTTAATACATAGTAGTTTAGAAAGCAAAATACCCACTTGGTTAATATTTCGTGGTAAAATGCAGGTACAATTGAAAAATATTGTAATGTTTACAAAATAACGAAAAAAACCTAACACCCCCCCCCCCCCCCCCCCCACTCCGACCGGCACAGCGGTGCGGCCTTAAACAATATTAACTTCTCATTTATTCAATAAAAGAAAATCGAAAAATCGAAAAATCGAAAAATCGAAAAATCGAAAAATCGAAAAATCGAAAAATCGAAAAATCGAAAAATCGAAAAATCGAAAAATCGAAAAATCGAAAAATCGAAAAATCGAAAAATCGAAAAATCGAAAAATCGAAAAATCAAAAAATCGAAAAGACTTCGGCACGGTGTGTGTGTGTGTGTGTGTGTGTGTGTGTGTGTGTGTGTGTGTGTGTGTGTGTGTGTGTGTGTGTGTGTGTGTGTGTGTGTGTGTGTGTGTGTGTGTGTGTGTGTGTGTGTGTGTGTGTGTGTGTGTGTGTGTGTGTGTGTGTGTGTGTGTGTGTGTGCATTGCGACTAGACGTATGCGTGTAGACTAGCTGCTAACTGATTCTATCTCTTTTAGACACAATTTCGAAAAAATTTAATTTGAAAATGAATAATGATCCACAAGAATCCAAAACAAAATATGGGACCACCATTGACGCGGTATTTTCCAGATATTTAGAGGATATCAAGTCTCAAACTTATGTTTCTTATTTCAGTTACCATAAACATATAGTTTCAATGATAAAAATTCCTGAATAACCTACATGTATTGTAAGATAATAAAAATATTTTAAACAATATTAACTTCTCATTTATTCAATAAAAGAAAAAAACTGTTTTCTTATCGGTCACCACGCTCAAAAAGTGTAACTTGAATTAATATCAAAGAAAAAAAATTGAATATAAAAAAAATCTGTATAAATAAAATAAATAATTAATTATAATTATAATTGCATAAGTTGATAAAAAATGCTATGCAATAGCTTTACCGCGGCAGTCCCCGAGTGCCACAAGTATTTTTTTATTTTTAAATATGCATCATTATTTAAGATATGCATTATTATTTTAGATATGCAATATAATTTCTGCACTAAATATGCATTTTGTATATAATCCAAGCTCTAGTGATAAGGAACAATACTGATACAAGTGTATGAGATATCGCGGAGCTAGGAGAAAATAAAGTGATAGAAACGATAATCACATTCCATAACAAACAAAAATTAATGATTACTGCTCTCTATCGGCCACCTTCAACAAATGTTGAAAGTTTTATAATCAATCTAGAAGAATACCTAGAAAGTACAAAAAAAACTTCAATAGATTATCACATACTAATAGGGGACATAAATATAAATATATTTGAGAATAGTGAAGTAGTGAATAGTTATTTAAATCTGTTAGGAGAACACAATTTCTTATCTTTAATAAACAGTCCGACCAGAGAAAAAAATTGTTTAGATCATATATTTATAAATTCTAAAAAGTCAAATATAAAAGATAGTTGCATAGCAGTCACTCTCGAAACAAACGTAACTGATCATAAAACAGTATTTGCAAGTATTCCTGTAACAAAAAAATATCAAAATAGCCCGACAACTTCTAAACAAATCATAGACTATAATAATCTAGAAAGTGACATGCAAAATTTTGACTGGTCGACGTATTATACATTATCTACTCCTGATGACATTACTGAATACCTAATAGAAACTTTAAACAGCTTTATAAAGAAACATACTAAAACAATAAAAATAAAAAGTGCAAATAAAGAAAGAAAAAACTGGGTAACACCGGGTCTCATAAAATCAATTAATAAAAAAAACTCATTATACAGACAGTACATAAAAAATAAAACAGACATACAAATTGAAAACAATTACCTTGAATATCGCAAAAATTTAAATAAACTCATCAAAACAACAAAGAAGGATTATTACAGAAAACAAATTCTTAAAAATAATAGTTCAACTAAAAACCTTTGGAAAATAATAAATGATGTAACAAATAATGTAAATGATAAAAAAATTGAAGAAATTGTTCTAGAAAACAATATAGTATGTAAAAATAAAAGAATAATAGCTGAAGAGTTTAATACATATTTCTCAAAAGTTGGAAAATGTTATGCCAAAAAAATAGTGAAACCAAATTCTGCTCCACCTAAAAATAAGCGAATGGTAAATTCTTTTTATCTATTACCTGTTAGTGAACATGAAGTAAGTAATATTATATCAACTCTAAAATTAAATAAGGCACCAGGAATAGATAACATTAAATCTGAAGTTATAAAAAAAGTATCATCTATAATTAGCCATCCCTTAGTTTACTTAATAAATACTATTTTTGAAACCGGACTATGGCCTAGACAATTTAAAACTACTTTAATTGTTCCCATACACAAAAAAGGAAACCGAAAATTACAAACAAATTACAGGCCTATATCGTTAATTACAACTCTGAGTAAGATTTTAGAAAAAGCTTTAACAAATCAATTTACCACATATTTAGAAAAATATAATTTACTGTCTGAAAACCAATTTGGCTTTCGAAGAGGAATGTCGACGGAAAATGCCATTACATCCCTAACAAGCAAGATATACAATCTTATTGATGCAAGCACTCCAACTGCTTGCGTATTTCTGGATCTAGCCAAGGCATTTGATACGGTTAGCCACACGCAACTGTTGGATGTCTTGGAGGATGCAGGAGTACGTGGGAAAGTTCATGATTTAATGCAGAGCTATTTGTTAGGTAGAAATCAAGTAGTCAGGATAGACGAAGAGGTAAGTAGTAAAAAAGAAATAAATTTTGGTATACCACAAGGTACCGTAATAGGACCTATTTTATTTATACTATACATAAATAATGTACTAACCTACCATACAGAAGGTAGTATCATAAGTTTTGCGGATGATACTGCCATCTTATATTCAGCTGAAACCTGGACTGACCTAAAGGTTAAAATGGAAAACGATTTAGTAAAAATTATAGATGTATTTAGTCACAAGTTACTTACAGTAAATGTGCAAAAAACATTTTTCGTTCCTTTTGCTAGTTATAAAAATGGTTTGCCGAATTATAATTCATTAAAAATAAAAAATCTCGTTATAAACAGAGCCGATAGTATTCGATATCTAGGATTAACAATTGATTCCCATTTACGCTGGGATAAACATGTAAATGAAATTTGTAAGACCTTAAGGTATTTATTATATAAATTTCGCTACTTAAAATCTATACTTGATATATATCATCTAAAAATCGTATATTATTCACTAGTGGAATCACGTTTACGATACGGGATTCTCGGATGGGGTGGAGTCTCTGTCACCTACTTACAACCATTAAACATTATTCAAAAAAAAATATTAAAAATAATACATAACAAAAAAGTATCACACCCATCAGACGAATTATTTATAGAATCTGCAGTCCTAGATATAAGACAACTATTTACACTTGCTATGATGGTAAATTTACATAAAAATAAGCAGTTACTAATACCTATTCAACATTCATACCAGACAAGAAATCGATCACAACTATTTATTGCAACAAATATTGCAAAAAAAAACCGTAGGCCAACGAAACTTCCAATATCTACAATTAAAAATTTATAATACACTTCCTGATATATACAAAATATACTTAAATACCATCAATTCTCATGCAATGATAAAATCCTTGCTTAAAACATATTTAATATTAAATAATAGGCACATGCTTAAACAACTGTTTGATTGATTCAAGGAAAACAATATATAATTCACACCCTTATCACGCATCAGTATTTTTGCTAACTATATTTTTTTTACCAATTTAAATTTTTATTATTTAGTTATATAAGTTATAAATCTTATTATTATTATTATTATTATTATTATTATTATTATTTTATTATTTTAGTCATTATGTATACCTTAATTATAATTTCTTTTATCTACTGCGTTTTGGCAATTTCAATTTTTAATAAAAATTGGCATTTCCCATGCTCGACTAAACAGTTTTAATGGGGTCAATGATTTATTTACATTGAAGTTACAATACATATGTTTGTGTATTATTGTAAAACTTTTATATTATTATTATTATTATTATTATTATTATTATTATTATTATGTGTGAATAAATATTATTATTATTATTATTATTATTATTATTATTACATGTTGAACCGACTTATAAATTTTTACTTTCCTGTATACAGATATAAGGAAAGTATAGGAATCATGATTTTTTCGACCTCGAGTTTTCGACCTCGAGTTTTCGACCTCGAGTTTTCGACGGATTTTTACGTTTTGAGGTCCCCTGAATCCGTTCTGACTATTTTCGCGATGATGTGTGTGTGTGTGTGTGTGTGTGTGTGTGTGTGTGTGTGTGTGTGTGTGTGTATGTGTGTGTGTTTGTGTGTGTGTGTGTGTGCAAAATTTTCCTAAAATGGTCCGTATTCGAGAAATTTGACAAAATGTAAAAAAAATAATTTTTTATAAAAATTGTTCAAATAAAAGTTGTTTGTAATATAATTCTCTATAATTTTTATTCTATACATAATTTCTCTAAAATGGACCCTATTCGAGATATTTGAGAAAATGTGTAAATTTCGAATTTTGAAGAAAACTCAAAAACGGATAAAGAAAAAAACATTAAATTTTAAACTTAAGGTTTATTTCAGCCTGACGTGAAATGATTAGATTTTGGACAAAGTCGGAACATCTGGGGGGGGGGGTACTTTATGGGAGGCCGTTTTTATATTTTATGGAATATATCTGTTATTTTTGTTTGGAGAAGAAAATTGTTCAATTAAAAGTTACTTCTAATATTATTATCTATAATTTTTGTTTTATGTTAAAATTTCCTGAAATTATCCGTATTCGAGAAATTTGATAAAATTGTTAAACTAAAAGTTGTTTGCGATATTGATCTCTATAATTTTTGTTTTTACATGATTTTTCGAAAATGAACCGTAATGGAAAAATTGGAGAAAAGTACTAAATTTAAATTTTTCAGTACTTTCGTTTTCAATGAATATCTGTAAAAAAAATGTTTCGAGTTAAATGTATGTGGAAAATGTATATATTTAGTTTATTCTCTAAATATTTATAGAGGAGGTATAATAGGTTGTACAAAATAACCGCCTATAAAGCCTATAATAACTAGATAGGAAAGTCATGTGTTGGACACATCAGATTTTTTAATTGATTATTTCTAATTAGCGTATTTAGGTTCAATCGTTACAAGCTTTAGTGAGTTCAGGATGAAAACATAATACTCCAAGTTGTATTTTAGAATTTCTCAATTTGAAATTAACTAATTTTGGGAGTTTAATTTTTGAATAAAAATAAAACAATAATTCTTATTTTTTGTTTTCTCGAAAACGATTCATTTTATCGACAATGAAGGAGAGTACCTTTTCTTTAGCTTAATGTTCAAGGTATCGAAATTTATTTTTTTTTAACTCCTTATCATACAGAGTGTCCGCCCCTGGTAAACCAATCAAGCTAATTATGTTTTAAGGGCAGTATTTTAAGAGGTTCTTACTACTGTTTATCATATTAAATTTTTATTAAATTATGTATATTACGTAGTTTGAAAGTTATTCAAGAAAAAATGATTTCGAGTGGCGTCTTTTTGGAGGCCGTATCTCCGTAGGGAGGGCCGCTAGGAAAAAATGTATGAGAACTTATCTTATTTTTTAATATTCTATCTGAATCCAAGAGATCCCACATTTTTTCGGACACCCTGTAGATAATATTTAAGTTAAAACTTTAATTAAGTTTTTGATTGTATGTTAACAATAAGTTTATTTTGTAAGTTTTCATGAAGTATGGCATATTAAGTTTATGTTTTTTAAGTTTATTAGAGTGAGGCAGATTCAAAGTTACCGAAAGCTCTCAACAAATAAATATAAATATAACAAACTTGCAGAAAACTTGCGAGGAAACTTGCATATATATTTATAAGCGAATGCATTTTACTCAATGGGATCTTTTAGACCATAAAAATTATTTGTAAAATAATTAAAATAAATTTATTAAAATTTATTCGAATTTAGTTCGCGGCATTTTAACTGTTTTAATAGTAAAAAACATTAAATATTAAATTCAGCTGAAATTTAAATACCTACAATTCTTAACTGACACGCAACCTCATTTCGATAATCATCTTAACCTATAAACATTCAGTTATGAAACAAAAACAAAGACTTATTATACAATTTCTTACATAACTAAAATATTCACTAACAATCACAAATAATAACTGTAAGAAACTCACCGAACGTTGTATTTGTAATTCTATTCAAAAACGTCGTCAGTCGGGGCTCCTTAATTTCTACATTAAATTGACTACCCGCCAGCCAAAATGTCGCAAACAAACACACAAAAATCGAAAAAAACCGCGACATTTTTCAAATATAGTAGGTCACTGTGACAGCCGAAGAGTGGCTAAAGAATGATCGATCTAAGACCACCGCGAAAAGATTCTCGCTCGAGAGAAATCGAGAGTGCTATGGCATAAACAAAATATAGATACCACAGTGCTATCTTCAATCGAAACAAGTTGATGGGGGGTTCCAGTGACTTATACACGAAACTTACACATACCGCTTTTTAATTGTTAATGCTTGTAAGGACCCCCTTTTCGCGGTTGCGATATCATGCACGTAACTCTCATTATGGTAAATAACATGTTTATTATTCAATTGTTTCTTAGGTAAAGGTCTGAAAGTGTTCGTTTGCAAGGTTATACGTTTCGTTTTGAGTTGTTTTATAACGATTATTTGGTTCGCGGTTGCAAATTTAAAGCGTTCTTTACTGAGATTGATGTGCAATTATGAATATTTTATTGTTAGGTTTTTAAATAATGAAGTTTTTCTACACCCGTATTATAATAATGCACTTATATGCCCATAATCCGTTTCATAATGATACCCATTATGATACAGATTTTTCATTACGATACAGATTTTTAATCAATAGAAACCTACTATTTTTCAATCAAACATGCTGTTTGACGTTTGTCCTAGGTTTCTATGTAATTGTTTTAGTTGTCAAAACGTATTAAATTTTCGTAGATAGCTAAACTTCGATAATTATAATATTAAAATGTCTCATATCAGCGATATAGAAGACTCTTCCACACATATCGGAGAAAGCAGAAAATACAGTACAAAATATTTTGCAGCAAAAATCTAGGGAAATACCAATACCCGAAGTAATACCATTAATTACAATTTTGTAGAATTTTTTATAGAAATACGAGTAATTACTGTTATTGTGTTCAATACCAATATAAATATAATATTTATAGGTCTTGATTATTTATCGGGTGTAGAAAAAATAGCGTATGCAACTCTCATGTAATGGTTATTAAAACACTCGCATAGACCATACGAAACTCGCCTTTGGCTCGTTTCGTATCCCGGTTAATGCTCGTGTATTAATAACCATCATTACATGATCGTTGCATAATATACTATTAGGTAAAAGGGTAACTGTGTACAAATTTAAAATTTGTTTTGAAACGAGAACAAAATTAATATTCTACAATATTTTTTAAAAATTTCTACACTGCGCACAGTTAACTTACATGTATGGGGTGATTAGACGCATATAGTGGGTGAATTGGCGCGAAAAATATAACACGATTTGAAAAATCGTTTTTTAAAAAAAAATATTTTTTATTTAAACAGAGTTACAATTATGTCTTTATTAAATGAAAGCTAACATCAGACTAAAAATGCAAATAATAACCATTGTTAACACATGTATGCTGATAAAAGAAACTTGAGCTGCCGGCTGGTGGAATTCTTAGAATTTCTGGGCACCTCGGCAGTTTCTATGATATAATTCCTCCCTTCCCAGAGAGATCCATACAGGGTGTGGGTCGTTATTCGTCTTCTTCGGTATTGATATTGAAAGTGGCTTGTTGGGTGGCAGGTATTATCCATTTTTGATTTCTGGACGTCGATTGCCTAATCTTGAAAAACATGATGATGAGGGCAACAACACCCAATGTCCACAGTGGCGTATACCACAGATGGGTATTGTTTGAAGGGGGTTGAAGACTTATTTGACGAATACGATTTTGTTCCTTCTGCAATAGGTGGATCTTGTCGAGGGGTATTTCATTAATATCGATTTTTCTGAAATGATTTTGACTGACTTTATTTATCTTAATTTCGGGTAGAAGTAAAGGCTGTCCATGAATAACGTCGATGTTATTTGAGTATCTGTTCTTCGGGGTTTGGAAACTGCAACCCTTTGGTACTTCCATAAAATAGGTACCTTTTAAAACTGCGAGATCTGACTTTGCACAGCTGATTTGGATCTTGGTTTCTCGAGGAAATACTGCAATATAGTGGGCAGAATTGATTGGTTCGATTACCTCAGAACTGATTTGGATTGGAGTAAGTTCACATGCAGGAGAGTCTTGATTATTCAATTGTAATATTTGGTGGATACAATCATCTGCATTAGCTTTGGCAATAGATTTCATGTTTGTGCAAAAATATAATGAGTTCAGATTTTTGCATTCTTCGTCCTCGTACTCATAGTTATTTCCTTGTATTGCCAGAAAAGATTTGGAGGGGATAAGGATAGAGTTATTTTGGGTAGGTATTGAATAGAGGTGAAAGTAAGAATATATTTCTGGATAGGTTATAGGAAAGTGAATCACAAATACTATCCGATTGTTAGAATAATAAGAGTCTACTGTAATAACTTCATAATATTTATAAAAATTTTGTGGATCGGCACCAACAATAAGTTACTTTCTGAATATGACTTTAATAGCAATTTTATGATAAATTCTAAATCTTCTATTTTTAAAATGCTATAGTGAACTGTTTTTAATCTCGCAAATATTATTGAGTTTTCTAAATTATTTAAGATTTCATTTAAAATTTTGAGAACTGCATGTATCTGGTCTAAGGCGTTTATTGCTAAAAAATATCCGGAAAAGTCGTTTACGAATTTTTCTAGTTCGTTATTAAGATCATTAATTATTTGAGCCATTTGTATTTCGTTTTGCTTTATTAAAGATAGACTTTTGTTGTAATCATCGATTATTTTAGTAGTTAGGGATATCTGTTTATTTAGTGTATTTGCTATATCTTTTTGATTTGAATTTATTAAGACAATAGCGTCGTCGTATCTTTTGCCGTCTTCGGCGTCTAGGTTTCCCGAAATACTTTTAAATATTGTACCTAGACCGTTTAAGATTCCTCTTTTAAGTCTCTTATTAGAATGAAGGTAATTTAATTTTTCTTTGCATTGTTTTATTTCAAAGGAGATTGAATTTATGTTATTTTTAAGTTCGGATGTGAATACCGCATTTTTATTTTCAATTGTTAAAATTATATTTTCGAATTGATTATTTATTTTAACAAGTTCGGTTTCGATAGGGTCTAAATCAAAATAATGGATAAAAGAATGGTATGTGGATTGTAATTTAGCATATCCTAATTTATAGGGTAATATTCCAGGGTTGGATTCCAGACTCGTGATTCTAATTTCTTGGGCTGCGATAATCGTAGCCATGATGAGGAGAATGCTGTAATAGTACATTTTTTGATTAGATAAAAAATTTTTAAAATTATTTTTATAAAGTGTAGGAAAAACTTTTTCAAATGAATTCGGATCTTTTTGTTTTTTTATTCTATTTATTTTTACTTTGGGACGCTCTTTCTTTTTAAGATGACGACAACCGAATTGTAGACCATCTTTTTGGCGTGCTACAGATTTGTGGTACGCGAGGGTGACAGGATCATACGTTAAAGGGTTGTGAAGGGCTTCATTCATTAGTTTTTTCTAATTTTTTACCATTTTGTTTAGTTATAAGTTCATTATGTCTTTTATAAATTCCGATAGTCATTTCTTTGTGATCTATCTTAATTTCATGTTTGTCGCAATTATCTATAATGGATTCATTAGTAAAGTTATAGCTTTCAAAATTATTCTCAACTGAAATACATTTAATTGGGTATAATACAGTAGAATTTATTTCTTCGTTCGAATTGTTATAAATTTCGTCAGTTGCCCAACCGTTCATTGAAAATGTTAATGTACTCGGTATTGTACAATTACCGATAGTTTGCTCTGGCACTAATATTTCTCTGGATTCAATAGTAACGGGTATTTTTATCCGCGAAACAGAATTTCCAGGCAATAGTTTCGGTTTTATTTCTATTGGCGTGGAATTAAAGTAATTAATTGGCAAAGAAATATTATTATTTGAAATTATTTGAGCATTTGGCAAATCAATATGAATATTCAATGAATTTAATAAATCTATTCCTAATAGTCCATCAAATATGCAATTAAATTTATATACAAAACATTTTATATTCTGTTTTGTTTGGAATTCTGGGAATGCCGGAATGGTTACTGAAAAGTTATGATTGGAGGAGCTAAAAGCAGTTGAAATAATAAATGGTTCCTTTATTTTAATTTTTGAAAAGTATTTATCAACAGCTTCTGGAGATAAAAATGATCGAGTTGCCCCGGTGTCTAATAAAAGTTTTAATGGTGGATTATTTATTGCAATATAAGGTAATTGTCCTTTATCAAGTGAATTATAAAATTCTATCATGGTTTCGGATTTGGGAGGCTGGGCTCCTGAAAATTTTGGTAATTATCGCCAGAAGGAGAGTCTACAATTTCGTATTCGCAATTGCTGCTCACAAAATCGATTGAATTATCTGCCAAATCACAATGTTCGACATTATTTAATTCTTCAGATACCCATCTACGATTTTGGGGTAATTGATTTCTGGAATTGCCAGAAATTTGACGGGAAGTCGTACTCATTGGAGTAGGCCTAGGTGAATTATTTTCATTAAAATTAGGATTTGGTTCCCAAACGTTTTGTTGAGGTCCAAAGACCTGTCGGTTTGTGAAGAATCTTTGATTAGCTACTGGTCTAGGTTGAATGTTTACAGGACCAGTAGGAAATGAACCTCTATAATTACTATTGTTATTATTTCTATAATAGCTAGTGCTAGGTTGATTAAAATTTGTTTGTTGGTTATTATTAAAATTTTGATTTCTGTTAACAAACTGATTGTTATTGTTTGGGCTATAGTTTTGAATAGTTTTATTAGAGCTATTCTGTCTATGTTGGTGGTTGGGGCTTTTTACTGAAATTTGAGAGTTATTTGAATGCGCATTTTGTAAATATTTAATATTATCCTCTTTTTTATAAAATTAATTGCTTCGAGCAGTGTTTTGGGATCTTTGGTACGAACCATGATACCATAAGGATTTCTTAACCCAGCTAAAAATACTTGAAGAGCTTGTTCGTTATATGATTTCTGTTTAAATTTTCTTATATCTAAGTTGAGTTCATGCAAACCGAGGTAGTTTGAAATAGTGTTTAATAATTTCCTGACCTTTTCATAAAATTCATATGGGCTCTCGTTAGGAGCTTGCCTTAAATTATTTAAATCCAACAATAAGTAACTTTCATTTCGGGGATCACTAAAATTCATAATCAACTCTTCCTTAATTTCTTTTATTTTAGTGGCTCCACTAATATTAATTTCTTCGCGAGCGGGTCCATGCAATTTACTTATAATCGTTCTAAATATTATAACATTCTGATAGTTTCCAATATTTACATTATCATAAAAATGGGTAACTATGCTATCAATACTTTCTAGGAAAAATTGCAACTCGTTTTCGTCGCCATAAAAATCAGGTATGGTCTCCGCGTGAACTTTTTGAAAGTTAGGGGGAGGAGTCATTGTTTGATTTAAAATATTTGTCAATTTACTAAAATTAGTTGGATAATTATTATCGTTAATATTAATCGAGTTAAAACTTTCAATTACAAAATCTAGCTCTAAATCAGATTCGTGATCACTAAAGGATAAGGAATCAATGTTAGAGGAGTCTGACATATAAGAAAAATAAAACTTACAGTACGGTTTTCGTTTGCATCGAAGGTCCGGCTGTCGTCTTAACCAAGGAAGTCTCCAGTACAGTTCTTTGGTAGCACCACAAAACTTTTCTCGCGATGGAAAGTTCGAAATTGGTGCAAAACGTTGAAAGTTCGTAATTGTCACTTAACTATAAAAATAGCGAAAGTTATCCACGTCGGATTCTTCGTGACAATCCTACTGACTGCGCCAAAAATATAACACGATTTGAAAAATCGTTTTTTAAAAAAATATATTTTTTATTTAAACAGAGTTACAATTATGTCTTTATTAAATGAAAGCTAACATCAGACTAAAAATGCAAATAATAACCATTGTTAACACATGTATGCTGATAAAAGAAACTTGAGCTGCCGGCTGGTGGGATTCTTAGAATTTCTGGGCACCTCGGCAGTTTCTATGATATAATTCGCGTCACTGGGTGAATGTGCGCTTTACACCTTGAATCAAGGCCCCCGCAACTGCGCGTGCAGCAGGCAATCGCGTATGTAGTGTTTTTTTTTTCAGAATATTTTTACTTGTAGCATCGCAATCTGCGATCTTAAAAAATATTTTCAACAGTAAAAAAATATTAAAATTAAATGAAAAAGAAGATCTTGGGTACATACAATGATAAAAAAAAATCGAAGACGATTTTTTACATTACATGAACAGAGCCCCCGCAACTGCGCGAGCAACGCGTGCACCGCATACGGGCGCACCTCTAAAGGGACGCCAAACCGGAGGTCTGTATACAATTCGAATTTTTAATTTTTCTAACGATTCCAATGAACAAGGCACTAAGACATCAAAGAAATCAAAAATATTTTTATCTCAATTCATGATAATATAATCAATAATGTTCGAAGTTTATGTTCGTTGATATAATGACCTATTCCTATTGCGACAGAAAACATATCTATTTTTGAAATCAAATAGCTATTTAATTAGCGTTAATTATTAAATATAATAAAATCAATAGGTTAGTTAATTCTGTGTGCAACATGCAATACCATGAATACCCGTATAAAGTATAAACTTGTCGATTTTTCCTGTCCAGACTCGAATACTGTACGAACAACGAGTAAGTTTCAAATTAGATCTTGTCGATTTTTTCCTGTCCAGACTTGAATACTCTACGAACTACGTTTTTCCTGTCCAGACTCGAATATTGTACAACGAGTAAGTTTCATATTAGATCGTGTAAATTTTTCCCATCCAGACTTGAAGACTCATACACGAGTATAAATAAAACTGCAGGAGGCGTCGTAATCCAAATAGTTATGATTTTCTTCGGCTACGTGAAGGTCAAAAACCAAGACGCAAAGTTATAGTTATAAATATTCGACGGAGTGCTTTATATTTTGTGTTAATTGTGTTGCATTAAATTTTATGAAATGGTAAGTACTGTAATGATATCGTTCTTTTGTCAAGTTTACTTTCACTACAATTTAATATAATGTTTACCTACCTCGGCTTGCCAATATAATTCTATAAATAAAATAAAATAATCTTTTCCTCAGGGGTGCTTCAAATTGTTCACAATACATTTATTTTATGTTAATTTACTTTAATTTATTTTGTTAATGCTGTTTTAATTCTTATTTTTATTTTAATTTTATTTAAATTCTGTCAAAATCCAACAAAAAATGTGAATTGACTTGCTTTGAACCCTGTATGTTTAATTTTTTTGAATAAACAAATTTTTCAAACAAAAACAAAGACATTTTTTATTTACATAAACATCAAAAATCAAAATTTCAAAATTAAAATTTATCAGTCAGAATACCCAGACACTAAAAACTAAACCTATTCCTAAACTCATGCGCTCAATCAACTATACTATACAGTATGGTTCAAATGAAAGGAATAAATTCATTATAATGGAAGTAGCTGGTTTTTCGAAAAAATGCTCGGACAGGTCAATTTTGTTTACTTAAAGCGCAATTTTTTAAATAAAATTCAATTTTCCCCCACTTCCCATTTTTGGGCAGTGACGTCATTGACAATTTTTTTAAATAGCAACCTCAATTTTTTTTTCTTGATTTTGATAGATCTTGCAATTTCCTACTCGGAAACATAATATTTGAAATATCTGACATAACAATTTTTTTTGAAAAAAAGTCATTTCAAGATCAGATACATAAATTTTATGTTATTTTGAAACACAATAAATTAATAAAAGATAATTATTTGTAATTAAATGCTTAATCTAACAAAATAATAATAAAAATAATAATAAAAAGAATTTGTGAAATGGGCCATGTTCACATGTGAGATATGCTGTTTTATAAATTATATTGTAATAGTTAGTCGCTATACAAGTTATTCTAAATAGTCAGTTCGTTAAAAAAGCCAAAAGTTTTTAAATTAAGCCCAATTGAAATTTAAAATTTGAAATTATACGTCATCGGGAATGTCGAAGTGAACGCACATCTAAGTGACATTAAAATTGACACCACCTAACATCAGTAACATCTAACCTTAGTTTTTTGTTTTGGTTTAATTTTATTATTAATATGAATCAGCTGGATTTATAAAAGTTGAATCAAGTGTTTTACCATTGTAAACGAAAATATGATTACCGAGATGATTACTGCATTTTTTAACAATACTCAGTTT